GACATCTCATAAATTTGAGGGGTTTATTATACTGAGCGTTGTGGGACATGGTTGTGATTCGCTCTGTATGCTCGAGGGTTTGCAGGAGGACAAGAATCCTCCCAGCTTACTACTGAACTGGATACTAGAGCTGGAAGCTCTAATGTCAGCAGGAAGATGGTTCCATATTTTTGAGTATTTAATATGGAAGAAGTTAGCTCGGAAGGGTCGCTTTAGAAGCCTTTTACAACTTGTGAACGGTTGTAAGGAAAAGGTTTAATCCAGCCCAATAAGGGGTCAACGAGTTTAAGAGCTTGTAGCTTTTGGACAAGGGATGAATGATTCATGCGGTCGAATGTCTTGGATATATCAAAATAAAGGACAAGAGCTAACCTACGCTGATCGCGGCTAGCGGTCAAGAAGTCAAAGAGTTCGGGGCGACTGGCCGCGTATGACTGTAACCTCAGGAATCTATGTTGACCAGGTATGATGGCATCATTGTCGAGCATACGCTGAGGGATACCTTCTTTAACTACTTTCTCTACAGTTATAGACACAACTGGCGTGATGTTTAAAGGTCCGTAGTTATTGACCTTAGTTTTGGACCCAGATTTGTGTCTAGGTATTATGAAGGGCATCTTCCAAATATCGGGGCACGTAGAGGTCTCCATCGACGTGAAGTATAGTTCGAGTAATGATGACGAAATGCCAGGATCCCCATTTTCAAAGACGTATGAAGCAATTCCGTCAGTACTTGTGCTCCTAGAGGACTTAGGTGTTTCTGTGGCTCAGTTAAAGTCAGCGCATGTGAATTCAATAGTACCAATGGGTTGCAGTACTTGAGGGGGGATTTTCTACCATAACTTGTTGTAACCGTATCTGTAAAAATGATGCGCACCTGTAAATTCAGGAATAAATCATTATTATTATTATCGATGCTCTTTTAACCACAAATGTGTCACGCACGTTTTTGAGCACGATGAGCGACAAAAAATCATTCGACCCTTAGAACCCTAAAGAATTGTCCCGCACGTGGTAGCTTGCTGCCTCGGGAACAAAGTCAGGTTTGTTTTTCTGGATTTCTCTTTGAAGCACTGAGGCAGTGCAGTCATTAGCCGTGTCCATAGCAAAGTTTACGCGCACTTCTTTTGGTAATGGCTCAAATGGTAAGTGCCCGACTGCCCAGAATCCTACCACTGATGCACTTGTGAGCGGATGCAATAAATCCCTTACGGTGACGGACCTTGTAGTTTCACATGAATTAGAGCCACGTAAGTAAATATCGTCGCTGCCAATGAGCCAAGTCTCTGTATTCACGCGAGTACTTTTTAGCAGGTCATTCTGGCTAAGCTGTCGCACAATCCATGAAGGCTGAGGCTTAAGCGCAGCGGCATAACTAAAAGCGTTGCTTGGTGAAATAACAAAAAAGGTCTCTTGGTGAACTGCTGCACTGAAAGGCCTACCTCAAGCTCAAGGCTACTCAACTTCATGTTCACTGTGGTCCAACTGTTTCCTAACAACCCATTTGTTGCTCGTTGGCGGAAGTAAATACGGACCTTCTCCATTATCTCCGGTCTATTCGTGTACACAAAATCCCCTAGGGCGATTAGATATCGTCAACGATCGGAAAAAGCCGAGGCTTCTGATATTGCCATCTGAAACTGGACAGCCATCTGCTGAAAAGTGTTCCTCTGCGGTGTCCCAAATTCTGCCTCAAAATGGGCCTAAATTGTCAACTGCAGCTCGTCTCGTAGCATACTTCGCACAAGACGACAGCGATGTTTTGCCGACGGAAAGTGCATTAAATTGATGCACACCTGGCAACAGATGAAATCTATCCTGGGGATGCCTCCAAAAGCCGAAAGCTGTTCTGTCTGTAACGGCTCAAAATACTTGAAGTAATATTTCAACTATGCCAGCCAGTACGCTAATCTGAAATATCCTAGGTCTAAGAACTCCAAACAAACCACTTGATGGGAAAATAATAGAAAACATAAAGCCGGAAAATGTTATAGTACTGATTGTAATCTCAAAATCGAAGGAGGCAGAAGCTCAGTAGGGCGAGGATTACCAAAGCTGTTATGTGGCGAAATTTACAGCTATTATTGTCGGGCTAATGGAAGCCTTCGCTGAAGGTATCACACTGTCGAAAAAAAGGAAGCCAGGTTGTCAAGAGAAACGTTTCCTCTACTTATGGGGAAAAATTTATTTCCAGAATGTGATAAAAGGTTGCACAAAGAACGCAAACGCAGTGAGAATGTGTAAGCTTACCATTGCCCATAAGAAACTTTAAAAGGAAAACACGGACCCATGTTCCATATTGAAGTGTTGAAAACTGGTCTCCACCTGAAAGAAAACAGTCACTCGAGGATTAAACCTTTAGCTCTTCATCGGAAAACTGTACGAAGATGAAAGTTTTGTAACTGCAGGTAATCCCCGAAAATGAATGGCTTCGAGTTTAACATGATTCAACACTGATGCGGACATTCATATTTTTAAAATATTTGTTGAGCTGAAGGCATAAGGCCAAGCATCCGCTTCGTTTGCCGCGTTATCGTGTTACGTTACGTTGATCGTACGTCATCGTTCAGCCAGTTAGCCAGGACGTGTAGGCATTTTGGCGCAGGCTACCAAGCGTGCCATTTCACTGATCTAATCCACTGTCTTTTGCTGGTCTCGCGCTGGTGTGTGTATGACAAGCACGAAAAATCAGTGATTGTCCTTTGAGTTCCTTTTTATTATTCAAACTGTGGTGGCTGGCGCTTTCACACACCTGTTTCGGATAGTGAAGTGAGTTGTTTGTCTGTTTCCCATTCTGTAGTTCTTCATATTCGTAAAATATTTCACCGATCAGAAGCAGGGTTTACAATATTCGCCTAGTTGGACGCATTGACGAGCATATGATTGCCAACATACATTCCGGCGGCAAAATCCAGCGATATTACTCCTGTGGACTATAATCTACATCCTGCTATCGGTTTTTGGTTATCATAACTATCTTAGCCTCTGGTTCTCTTCCTTAGTTTTTCCTCAGGAACCGTCATGCCCCGTCCCACATTCATGTCCGTTGTGGACTGTAGCACCACCCTCAAGGGATACAGCCGGAGCCATAACACCCAACGACTGCGGTGTCTGTGTTGGATATAGGTGGGGGGCATGGAGACACCACCACTGACAGCAAAGTACTTCGACAGCACCAAAAGTTCATGAAAAGCGGCAATGCAAGTGGTTGTTGTGCATCTGTCCGGAGTGCAGAAAATTCATGCATTCCATACAAAAGACTTGAAGGGGCCACTCACCACCGCATAAACACCGTCAATCCAAAAGTAACATGGAAAACGTCAAAAGATAACAGGAGGTAAGTCAAGAATAAGGCTACGTCTGTAGCCTCATGCGAACTGTAGCGTGCATAAACCGCTTAAAGACGTGCTCTCACACTGCCGCACCAAGCCGGAGTGGGCCAAGAAGTCATGAGGACAATGCAGTCTGCGGGTCCCAGACAAGACAACCAGAATGCCTCTGACAGTGCAACCCAGTGGCAGTAAATAAACATGCATGTCAAACTCCCTGAAAAGTTGTCAAATCATCTGCAACAAATACAGTTAACAGGAGAGTCAGCCCTAGCATCCTTCTCAGAGTCGGTTTGTTGACAGATTGACTGTTGGGCCGGAGGGAGCGGTCTGACTGTCAGAAAGAGATCAAACACTGCTTAGCTATGAGGCTTCCTTCTCACTTCGCAAAGCTGACATTTATCATGGGGCGGCACGGAACCCTGAGACAGACGTACACCCTTTACTGTCTTTGTCACCTTCACGAAAGATGCTATGGACGTCCTTCCCTCATACTGGCGGGCACATTGCCACTGATTGCAAAATCGAAGTGTAACGTGCCACCATGAAGACGAGCAAAACATGTCGACTGCTTGTAACAATCCCCGCACAGTGAAAGCTGATATTTCCCTGTTCGGCTGGTAACTGGTAGAAAGTTGTGATGTTTTTAATGGGATTTAATGCTCTCCTTTTTGTACCATTCAGGGCTCGTAAAATCGTGTAGATTTTTCAACATACATCAGTGGGACGATGCCTGCAAACTGGCTTCACCCGTTTTAAATGTCTGATGTGGAGCTGTAATACTTGTTTATTTGTTTACTCAGCTTTGAAGCAGCGTCTTCTTGAAATCACAAGCGGTAGGGATAAACGAACGAAGTTGGGCTTGGTAGCCTACGGGAAAGCAGATTTGTTAGATTTCCGAGACCAGTCCGTCTAAAGCTCAGCCCCAACTTTAGACTACTAGAGATCAATTGCAATTCACATGCCATGTTTACAGAGGCTCTAATCGCGTACGCGCACGCCTCCAGGACCCTCCGAGTCAGTTGTTGATACACAGGTACAAAACCGCAGGCTCAAGGCAAACATGATCATGACGTACCATGTCGCCTACAATCCCCTTCATCTCAGCAGATTCCTTCTAAACCTTACTCAGGAACGCTACCTTAGGAGCTACCTGTTTGGAGATTAGCATGAGAGAGCACGTATAAAGATTTGTGCTAATTCCATTGGAGTACGGGTATGTAAGCTGTGGGACTCCCCCCTGCAGAAGTTGTCACGGCCCCTCCATCTGATGCTTTTCAAGGGAGGTCAGATGCGCATTTAGAGTCTAGTGGTGCAGATGGTGTATTCTGGAGAAGCCTTCTGTCATCTACAGATCAGTGGGAGATACACTGCCTATATAGAGCAGACTAATTATTAATCGATGACCTTTCATTTTTTTTCGGAACCAAGAAAATAACTGGTACCACTCAAACAAGAACGTACTTCAAAAAGACACATGTAGAACTCGAGGAACCATCGTCCAATAATCCTACAACAGGAATTTTAAAGTTTGAAGGTCGCCTTACGTGTGAGCTCTTCGTAGCATATATCCAGTAGATTCACTGTTGATAATAGTTGTATGAACCAGCAAAGATTTCGTACTTTGCGTCTCCCTATTTTCTGAAAAGGTCCTGAATAAAAAGATAATAGATGGATGCTTCACATTCTCTGTTAGAGCAGGAAAATATCCGTCGAGCTGATGAACTGTCACATAAGGTGTCGCTGCTAAAAGCAGTAAGTACGTCTTAAGAATCGTATACTTTTTGAGGTGATAAAGTTACACATAATGGTATTATATTCAGACATCAATGAAGATTATGTATATCCCAATATTATCTTGTCGATATCTTTTCAAGCGATATGCTAGTATGAAATAAACGCATTCGTAGTGTCGAATGTCAATCAATTAGTTCAACATGATTCCGTTTTCAAGAAACATAGTTACCTAACTTTGTTTTAAATATCTCAGTAGTTCTTAGTTCACACAACCTCAGTCTTTGTTTTAGCCAGGTACACAATTTCAGACTATCTAGCTGACATCGGCAAAATGCCATAAATCGATGGCTGTAAGCTCTCAACAACTCTCTCAATCGTATTAAAAAGTTTAAGTGTCTCAATAATTTTCCTCGGATTTTTTCTCCGTCGATATCCTTTTTTTACTTTTACCCATTTCACATTCCCAACCTAAACTGCACGTTTACCTCCCTTATTTACATAGCTACATTTTTACGGGAACTAGTTACTGGACTCATCCTTTTAAACTATTGAACTTTAAACCAGTGTTTTATATTGAGTTTGTTTATCGTTAGAGAAGAGGTTAGAAAGTATCATTCTCACCATTCTTTATAGAATGCATACAGATGTTATATCCCGCTAAGATGGAAGAAAAATTTCCTGACGTTCCGCGACCTTATTGTGACCGCTCCTTCTTCAGTTCGACTACTTTCGTTAATTTAAATAGTCGCTTAGTATCGCTTTCATTGTGGTCATCTGCATTGATGCAGAAATCGGTATAATTACTTTTCCGAACGAAGCTTTTAAAACCCAAGTAGACTATGAAATGTACTGCAGGCTGTCTTCTATAAAGAACGTATTTCGTAGTAGAAAAAAAATCACCAGCACATTTGTTTACCACAGCTATTTCTCATTCAGTGTACGATTAACTGCTTTCCTTCATACACATTCTATTAATGTCCAGACGTTATTGGAACTAAAGGTAAGGTTGGTGAGATACCGTTTTAAAATGATGGACAGCATGCCACTTAGCATTACGGCAACAGTCCAAGCAATCTCGTCTGAAACTAATATGTATGTGTGACAAGAGAAAAGATCAAGAAATAAAAAATTGATCAAAATCATGAAAGAAGAGGTGACGCTCAGCAAGCAGTGAATCTGGACGCAAAGATTGGGTATTAGTTCGCATGTTCCAATCCAATTGATTCTGAGCAATACCGGCAAATGTGGTGACCGGTCAGCACTCGAATTTTAAGCAACGAGTTTCTAGCTCAGGCACTATTCCACCTACTTTGGCTTTAACAGTGTGAAACATTTTGATACATAAGGCATGTATTAGATTGACTCACATTGCAGCAAAGATCTCCAACCGACGGTTTCGGTTACGTCATAGACCTTGTCAACTTCGAACCAATGCGCTTCTGTGCGATGTTCTATTTTGATTTTACCTGTTGGTCATATGAGACACTTTAATCTCTGCGTGTCTCAGACCAGCAATCACAGCCTGTAGAGATTGGTCTTGACCTGGTCAACCGCACCCCCTTTACAACCCAATCTTATTTCTGATGACGTGTTGATGCAGATGGCTACTCAGCGTGTATAATACATGACTGGTTAACCCAGCTAGTGGAGACTTAAAGCCTGACTTGCTTTTTTAGTAGAATCTATACAGTGCTCACGCAAAGGTTCCATGACATCCATACGATATCCGATGGACATAGTGGTCTAGGCCATATGTGATCGGCCTTAATCATATATCCTGTAGCACTGTGGTCGCACGAAACGAATCCATCTTCGCTACCAGGTACCTAGCACAAAAACCTCCAGTAGTGTGCACAACTCAGAAGTACCAGTCATCCACATGCTTTCAGCACTAAAAAGGGTACCGAATAAGTGCATCGCGCTGTTAAAGGCTCTATATTTGAGCACCCGTGAGCGTGTTAGAGCCTACAGTGAGTCGTGTAGATCAAGAATGTCCCTTCCCTCCATTATCACTCAGATTTATCATAGACGTTCTATGTGGGTCTTCCTGTCTTCATTTGACGTCAGAGGGATTGATTTCACCACAGGAGACTCCTTGGTAGAATACACAGATGACATAGTCCTGTTAGATGAAGACTGTCAAGGTGCAGTCTCCCTGACACCTTGAGTAACAGTTTTTAAATGTTTATGATACGTTTCTTGCCACCCAAATGCAAACTGTTGCCCTAGATCTAGCATCTGGCAATGCCTCGGTCAACAATAGAGAGTGAAGTGGTTCATTGAGTGAAATACTTCACTTACCTGAGAAGTTGGAACAGCCCTAGTGGGTCAGTGTCTGATGAAATTTTTGCACAGATGCGAAAGGTTAGATTGGCTCTTACCAACTTACTCAATTACGGTGCTCGCACGATATCCAATTGCCTACTGAGGGTAGAGTGTACTGTCCTTCGGTTCTCCCTGTTCTGCTCTATGACTGAAGCATAGCAATTAAGGATAGAAGAAATGAGAAAGTTTCAGATTACCTCCGTGCCATATGTTGTGTCACGATGTCACCAGTTAAGTCATGCAAAAGTCAAGTGTACAGACCTAGACAGTAGGAGAAGGTCAGTTGATAAAATCGTGGACCTTCATCGACTAAGATGGCTGGGATGTGTTACGTATCCCTAGTCTTCGTCTGCCTTCTCAAGCAATGTTGGCTGATGTATGTTCAGGCTGGACAAAGATTTGAGGCGACCAGACTAAAACACAAAATCACAGTATGAAATCTTTGACTGTTGGTCTGATTTGTGCAGCAAAATGTAGCCTTTCCTGTTGGGATCTGTGAGACAACAGAAACCAGTTGTGGGAGACTCTCGGTGACAGTGACGCAGATGTATCCTCACTTTATCTTTATCCTAACAGCTATACCAAATTCATCATTTCCTCGTTCTTCCTTCGTCTCTTTTACTGCATTCTACTCCATCTGACCAACATTTTTAATTCACCTCTCATCTTATTGCATTTTTACTTGATGTGCTGATATGAGGCCTAGCAACTTCGACCCTTACGCAGTGATTTCGGGTCCTGAATGTGATCTAGGGAGTATCTGCATTAAACGACACTGCCAAATCGACAGTACTGATCGTCTTTAACAATTTCACTGTGACAATCACCTAAAAGGAAGGTGAAATTTAATTCGACTGTACCATTCCTTGTTTGAGATATAATGTTAACCAGTAATGTGACTACTGACATTCCATTAGTAGTTGGTGTTGGTTGACTGAGATTGATTTATCTCGAAGTAGCTTTCACTATGGATTAATATCAGTTGGAGAACGACTGCATTGAAAATCTGGAAGCATTGAACATCTGTTTAATTGTTGTTTTTGGTTTCACAACATTGCACACCCACGACCTCACGAGTATACAAATTCGATTAGATTAAATATAAATGAAATGAATGATAGAATTAGGGAATACATTGATCTTCGAGTTTCGACGTGATTACTGTGCTAAACATGCCTACCGAGAGTTAAGGGCTTGCATTGTACTGTGGTAACCCAACATCCTATCACCACTCATTGTTCTGTGTTTTACAGTGAGTCTCTGGCCAACATCAACCCGTTGTGGAAACCGGTTTTGGATTATTCCGTCTCATATATATAAGTTGATTTGATGGATCGGATGCATCTGTAATCTAAATTTTCCTTCGACTATTCATTCACATACACAAGCCTTAAGTCCACCATGTGAAACTGTTACTTATGTACGGTGACTGGTTGAATGCTTGTTATCGATGTACGTGTGTGTAATGTAATGTGCGTAGAGTTTGACATGACTGCTTCATGTTGTAATTTGGGCAACCTGGTGATGAGAATTGATGCTAGTGGTTTCATTGTTGCTACCCATGATGATGAAGGAGAGAGAGAACAGCATGAGTGTCATCGAACTGAGAGTCTTCACAATGACTGTAATCAATGGTGGATGGCGACAATCGAATGTTATGGAGAAGACATTGATGTTACATGATACTCGAGAGTTGAATGGAGTTGTTGAGGTGACTGGGATGAAATAGGTGACGGTCAGGGAGACGGTTGATCAGGAAGGTGGTTGAGTGATAATTGATCAGGACAGATAGAATAGACGTTGGTTGTGTCATTTTGAAGAAGAGTTCGGGTGGCCTACAGCCACACCGTAGTCGCCCCACCCAGCATGCAACGCTAACCTGAATGGGATGTACGAGGTGATTCTCGAAGTGTCATTGAAGTTGTAAAGACTATTTGAGATGCGAGATTTTGCAAAGTAGCATTACTTGATGGTTTTCGACCAGAAGTTTTCAAGGAGGTAAATGTAAAATGACTGGTTAGATGGACTTGAGTATGACTGGTTAAGGCCTTTGATTCTGCCACTCCATTTGTTTATAAGAGAGCAAAAATTATCTATCCTACTGTGATTACTATGAGGCAGTCAGTTTGACTAGCTTTGTGTTCATGATCCTGGCGTCTGCAACCATCCATTAATTAACGGTAGTTGAGTAGCAAGGAACTCGAGGAAACTAGGCTGGTCTCAGACATGTATGAAGGTAGGTGAACTAGATCACCTTTCTACAGGTTTTGGAACACAGGCATACTTGCTGGCATCATACACGTACATTATGTTCGACTTGTATGTGGCATTTGACACTGTCGACCGACAGGTGTTGTATTAATATCTGATGGTGAAGGTGGTACTGTGAAAGTGTGTAGTGCTTATCAATGTCGTCTGATGGAACTCACTGTGGAGGGGGGGGTGAGGGGTGGGCGTGGGCTTACGGAGAGTTGTCGTTTTAAGTGACGACAATGTGTGAAGTCGGTCATGAATGCCCACTATTAGCATCCTTGTTTAAATTTGTTACAGCCTTGCCTATGTGTATTACCGTAGCCAGCTGCAACTTAGCATCGATAGGTTTACTCGAAGAAGGTTGTTTGGTTCACTTTAAATGCCTAGATGATAAGATTTTGTTTAATGAAGTTGGCGAAAAAGAACAGGGTCTTCTGAACATTTTTCTGAGAAATCTGGATATGCTTATCATTAGTTTTCCTCCTGTAAAGCGATGCTTTAAGACATGTATTCACCAACACGTGGTTGAAGGGTTGCGATTGGGGTGATAGTATGCGCCTACGACTTCACTTATGTAAAGAGTTGCATCACCTTGAGTAGGCTGGTTACTCACGAAATCTCAGTTCGGATACAGGTCGGTTTTGCATTCACCAACCTGCGTCATCTGTAGTGCCGACAAGATACCCGGCTAGCTACTAAGTGACGAGTATTGTTTGTTGTAGTGCTTTGTGTACTTTTATGACAGATATGGCCACTGAAAGTAGAAAATATGAAGATACCATAGGGTTTTGGCCACAGGTGACTTCGTAGTGTTGCTCGTGTACGTTGAAATCACGATATAAGCAGTGTTGATGTTAGGGAACTCACTAAATGAAGTTCTGAAGCTTCAGCGACTGAGTTGGCTCAGGTATATGTTGGGTATGTGGAACCATCACACATCTTGACATGTATCATTAGCCGAAATAAGGTTAGGGCTGTGGCTCATTGGTCTAGGCGTTTTATTTCCAACCGACGAGTTGCGGTTTCGATCCTACTACTACTAACCGAGGTAAGGGCGACCGGTTAGTATCATCGGCTGTCACAATAGGTTTGGCTACGCGAGAATTCACAAAGTTGCAGAGTTAATTTTGATTTTTGACGAGAGATCAAACCAAGACTTGACATCAGTGCATGAAATCTTTGATTGTCAGTCTGGTTGGGATTTTAACAAACCGGTTCTCTCTACTTCATATTAGACTGTTTATTTGATGTAGCACACAGTGATACAGTATTATTTAGTTGTTGACGTTTCGAGTAGGATTTATTACTCATATTCATATCAAAGTAATCATATGACTTTCTCACTTCCTTTATGTGGTCCAATAGTTCATTCATTCATTTCTATGGTCGTAAAATTTTCCATATATCTGCAATATGTGATGAGTCATTTCTGTTACATGTGTTAGATGTGGATTCAATGAACAAATATTCTGTGATCAATATCTCCCTCTACCTAGCTATGATGGATTTTAGAATTGTCACCCTATAGCGTGATTATGGGTCAGTGCATGAAAACCGATAGCCAAGTTCTTCTCTAGATTACTTACCTAACTAGTGTCTACCATTGTATGTCTCGCAAAATGTAACTTTTCTTTATAAGCATGAAGATTTTTTTTGGATTACCTATAAAGTAATGGATAAACTGCTACCTATTTAGTTATCACTAATTACAGATGAAACGAACTTAAACGGTAGAATAAACATATTTATTCAACGTCCAGCTTATGTCTAGTTCGAAATTGCAAAGCAAATCAAGTAGAATAGTCAGTAGACTATTACGTTTCTTTTACCTTAGGTTTGATGCAATTCTTGTGTACAGTTCGTTGAATGATGAAAAACTGTTTTGCTTCAGTTGATTAGCACAACAATTGACAAATGAAGGCTTTTCATGTTTTTCCTAAATAAATCAAAGATATTCCTGAAAGTGGGATTTTCTAAAGTCATAAGCCACCAACCTTTGGAGTTAACTACCAGTCATTCTGGTAATGTAGTCTGATTCGTCACCACTTATTATTTAAATAATCGATAACGTGTAAAGGTTTTATGCCTTGAAGAAGCGATTTCCACGAATTTGCGAAACGTCATAATTTTTTTCTACTTCATTGGGATTTTACAGATATATTTCATTCATAACTTATTTACCCAATGCTCAACTTATTCAACCCGACCAGGTCAAATTTCGATCCTAAAGTTTATGAAATCACTTTAGTATTAGTTCCAAACAGTTACTCAGACTAAGTTATTGGTTACAGTTTTATGACATAAACGCGAAATCATTGTTATCATACTATTAGTTATCGAAAGGTAGCGTTATATTTTGATGGCTTGTGTGACAAAATGTAAAGGTGAACATGCTACTTTGTTAGCCATACATAATTTAAATGAAATCGGTTTCGAACCTGTAAGCAATATAGTATCTGATTAAATCCTTCATTATAGAATTATAGTTCAGCTTGATTGGATTTCTTGGTTTATTTTTTATTTATATGTGGTTTATGTTTGAATCCTGCATAAAATGTTAGTATAAGGCTGAAAACATCGAATCGAAATTCATTTGGTAACCTTGTTCACATCCGTGCAGTAGGTAGGCAATAAGCCACACCTATTGTCTGAGGGCTAATCATACTACCTAGCTGCCTAAACGTAGGTTGGTTGAACAGTGTTTGAGTCAGTAACCCATTGATTGAAAGTCGACTATCTAAACCAATGAACTACAACCACCGGCATAAGGCTGCTACGTGCACAGTGATTCATAACATTTTGTTTCTTATAAGGGTGATTATCTACTAAAAAACGATGACCTTCATTCAAACTCATTTTTATATATTATCCTTGTTTTTCAAAGTATCTTTTGTAAATGTACGCATATTTTTCTAATATCACCTCTTATTTACTTCTTTGCAGTTTGCTAAAGATATTGAAACCGAATCTAAATCACAAAATAAATATCTTGATGAAATTACAAATTCATTTGATAGTGCAAGTAATATTTTGTCGAACACACTGCATCGAGTGCTTGGAATACCGAAAAAGCGTACAAATAATCGAAGATTTATGTGTTATGTTGTTCTGTTTGTAGTTTTTATTAGCCTACTGGGTTATTTTCTTTTATTTCGCAGATCCAATTAGCTGGAATTCGTTACTATTTGTTTCAGATAATGTTACTCTGGCTTTACTTCAAGCGCTTTTTTACACAGTCTTAATCTTTACTATACGTGATATTGTCTTTCAGTCTTATTTTGTGATTTATTGACCTTTCTTTTCTGAGAGCCACTTCTCTATAAACTAAAGTGAATTTCATCAGCAATAAAATATTCACACTGCACTTGTACATTGTATCTGTGTAATGTTTTTAAGAAAGATGATTGATACTTTCGTTTTTCTTTCCTGGGTTTCAGCTGTTTCGTGTAATAAGTCCTCTGTCATGCATTGCTAATTTTGATCAAACATGTATTCTTATAGCTGCATATTTTTCAAAGTATTTGATTGCCCTGGTAGTTGTAGAAGTAATAGTTCACTTTGAACTGTATGGTTTAGTTCCATCTACCAAGGCGAGGATAGAGAAGTAGTGTCATTCATCTTAGCACAGTGTTCTTGGCTTACAGCTTAATGCAAGCGACTTAACCATAGTTTTTAAAATATCCAGACTGTAGAATCGAAACACCACCAACTAAGTAATAAAACTGAACATATAATTATATGAATATTTCTCAAGGTGTGCTGAGAGGTTCTTAGAGTTTTAAGTTGTATTATACATATGTCTGAGATTTATTTCGCATATAAGCTTTGTCAGCAGCAAATGTAGATAAGATCCCAAGTTAACAAATATAGGGTAAGCAGTGCTTAAATGATAAAGTAATGTGGACTGCAAAAGCAGTAAGGTGTTTCCCAAAGATCAGCAATAGTTATACTTATTGTTTAAATTTATAGTTAGAAGTGCGTACAAGTGATAACTCCTCCAACTTAAAGAAGGACAAGTATCAATCGAATTTCCGGAATCAAATGTCTTTGAAAATGTCATGTGTGGCCGTATTTAAGCAGATCTCCCTTAGCGTCTGCATTTTTGTCTGCAGAGTGATACGATTATCAGTACTAATTCAGTATCTTCTCAGGGAAAATTCACTCTTCACATTATAATGAACTGGGAGGGACTGATTGCACGTACGCGTAAGACAACACTCAAGTCACCTGAATTTGTATTTTCAGCTTCTTTTACTTAATTCGTGCGATGTGCTATTCAACGCGTACGTACAATGTGAACTTATAGGTTAGCATATAGTCTTTCAAAATCTTACCGCATTTAATTCACTTTCTGGGCATGTTCACATGTAGCAGTTAATCGTAGGGGTATTTTAAATGTTCGTGTAGCACCAACCCTTAAGGTATGAACTACACTTTTCCGCAGCGTCATGGTTAGTGGTTTTATGTGTTGTCTTATTGAATACCACTATCTGGAATGAAGTAGATGCGGGTGTTTTATCCGGCCTTCTGTTTACACTTGCACCGACTCTATAACAATGGGGAATTACAAGCATCATTACAATAGCATAACCGTTTCACAAGAGGTGGTTATCGTGCCCCAGTGGCTTAGTGGATAACGCTCTGGCGTTTGGAGCGAAGGGTATTGGGTTCGAGCCTGAGGGGGAACAACATCACTCACTGGGGTGCAGGTACATCCAGCTGACTATTCCCAAATAGGACGAAGTGCGTGTCCTGGAATTCTCCGCCAGTCACCAAGATCAGTAATATCATGAATATCCGGCAGTATCGAGTTATCCTCATAGGAGTCCATCTGCCAACAGAGATCGAGCAGTTCGGGTCTGTATAGCCATGGGGAGTTTCAAGTATCATTACAACTACACCGACTTGTTTGAATGAAGTTGTAGATGAAATCTGCCTAACCTTCTATATATCTGTCCATAACAGCAGTTGAACCTAGTACGAAGATAGGTTATGTTTAAACAGAAATCAGTTATTGGAGCGTGATACTAATTCTCGTCCGTAAAGGACTTCCTATCAATTTTATTCTTTGAAGTTGGTGGTCAGGACCGGCTAACTTCTTTTCATAAACCCAGTAGGTCTCTGGTTTTGTTTGAATAGTATGCCCACAGGAACACGCCATGTCTAGTTCAAAATACAATGTGAAGTGGAAACATGTTAGAGAAACGGATTGAGTAACATGTAAAGCTTAACAATTGTTCGAACTTATACGGGACAGTGGATTGAAAAAGGTGAAATTGTCACTGAAAAAGACGGGTCGTAATTCGCCTTCAGAACAAGTGACATTTTAAGTCATCTAGGTCCCTATCGCAATTCCACTCAGCCTGAACAGGACATTGACACCTGATCTCTTACACTTTCTAATTTTGTGGTCGATGCAACTCACCTGAATGAAGGAAAACTGCAGATCCTGGTGGGATACTTTCAGAAATCTTTGTCAATCTTGCTTACCAGGTAGACTAGCTATGGGTCGGAAATAGTTCTTTAAATCTAGCCACGATTATTGATCGTTTCATACTATTACAACTAGCTAACAGAATGTGCGACCAAACAACACGAGTAGTTAGAATTCACTCACACAAATCTGGAGATTTCACCAGCCGGGTCAGAGTATTAGAAGCATCAGATGGCTGTCTTATCTATTTGGAGCCTAGCTCATCAGCTATGAACCCGGACAAATTCGGCTCAGAGCCAAGCTTTTAAGAACAGATCAGTTTGAACTGAATAGCAAAGTCTAAGATCAGCCTGAGTGGTTTCCAACTAATCGAATTGTCTAGTGGCATGTTTCCTTAGCTCATGACGCTTTTGTCTCAGAGATCACACCTTGTGATCTTGGCTGGTTGGTTTTCAACGGAAACCCTTTTTACATCGCAGTTGGGAAACTGCCCTACTGTGTGAAGTTTCTACGTGGATCGTAGTATTAGCGAATACATCATCCAATATTATCATCTTGTTTTAACCAAAGAGGAACTGAACTAACGCGTTTAAAATTCCAGAAGCTATAACCGTTTGATGCTACAGGCTAACAAAATCCAGGTGATTCAGATGGGAATTAAGGTAAATCTATAAGACTGCTAGGTCATGAAATATCGGCAGATGAATGTAAACTTTTTACTTAGTTGAGGACTGTATTCGGTTTAATCGACCCGAATATCATATAACTTTGTTTATCACCAAGACGAACGTTTCCATCTGAAATGCAGCCAGTGATATTAGTGGGTTGTCATCTGAGGCCATAACTTTATACTCAACTTTGTCAAATGTTCACTTCTGAAGGTAGGATTCGCTTAACTCAACTTCTCAAAATTTAATCTCATCTCACAAATGTCTTTATTAGGCTTAGAGTACACCAAAATCACTGTGCTAATCATCGTGAGATGCCTACAAAATATGTGACCTTCCAGAAACATTTTTTACTGGGTGATGTTTAAGAGATATTTCTCACTTCAGGAACCGCTACCGTCGGATATCTGAGTACCTATTTAGTATCCGGTGTATTGTTTTCAGTGACACGTTCTGTGTTGTTATATTCGTACGAAACGTGACCATTGCGAAAAGATATTCGTAAAGGTTACAAGTGTTTTGTCAACTTTAGACATAAAATTTATAGGACTTCGCATAGCTGTGTACTGATTTTAGTTGCCGCGTTTTGTATGAGTACATTGAGAGAGAGAGAGAGATAAACAAATGAAGACATTGTTAACAATAATACCGAAAGCTTGAATATAATAATATGAACTATTCAACGAAATGTGATCTAGAACTTCTGTTGAACTTACTTATAATCATCAAATACACGTCATAATATGTTCGTTTGTTTAGTAAACAGAGTTTCCTGAAAGAATATCTTCCCATTCAGTTTTGTTTCTTCAGACAAGCGTTAGTAATATTTCGTGAAATTCAATGAAGCACAAAGTGCATTGGCTATTAATAGGTGGGGCAGGATGCTTAAAAACCTTTAGGAGCAGAGTATTCAGAAGATTAACTTTTTTGTTAAACAATCTCTTCAACGTTCTCTACGGTAACTGTTATTATTACATAAACATTACTAATGCTATCTTGAGTTGTCGTACCTGTCGGTTTAGTAGTTTTGATACTACTTATCATTTTTTGATGTTTACACGGTATCTTTTCGTCTCGGTAAGTGATTCTGGTCTCTGCAGAGACTCTCTCCTGTTTTTTTCTTTGTAGAACCTGTTATCGATCTTATCAGAGTTAAATTTTAAAAACTGTTGTCTTTATATATATATATATATATATATATATATATATATATATATATATATATATATATATAGATCGATCACTGGGGAGCAAGCAATCTCATGTTGTCCAGTCCTGAGTGCTAACCGAATTCGATCGATCATTTTGAAATGTGACCACCAGGCTAGGAGGCTCACTGTTTCAAGATGATCAATCAGCACTCAGGACTTGATAACATGAGACTGCTCATTCCCCAGTCATCAATCATTGTACCTAATCCAGTCCTACAAGTTGTCAGTCGCGGCCCGAATCGCTCAGTCGTAACGTCATTGACTGTAACACGGTGGCTTGGGTTCGGATCCCAGGCGGGACATCACTTCCGTCGAAATTGCAAAACGACTTGCTGACGAGTGCCGACAAGTACTAAAACTAGGTCCAAGATTTCTTGCTATTTGCTTCCAGGTAACTAACTCTTGGGTTTATTTCGAAGTTTATTATACCTTAATATCGTTTACTAGTTGTTGCGATGAAATAGATTTATTGACAACTGCATTTGAGAAACCTAATTTATGTCTCCGATACCAATCGACTGTATAAAGTTTCCATCAAGCGATTAGTATATCGGTTGCGTAATTCTGTTACCTTTCGAGGTGCAAATACATGAGTGAACACTGAATTAGATACTTTAAAGGGAACATTGATGTTAAAAAGGTTTATCAAACAATAAGTAGTAATGATGTAGTTTGTTTTTATTACTTAGATCACTAAACTCAGGAATACCGTCACTTGTAACCAGTGGTATACGTAGTAAGGACAATATTTATTTGTATTGACTTACCATCATCTATAAACTAAAGTAGTATCTTCGTCTTAATGATAAGTCAAAGTAAACTTTAAAACTAGATTCACATATTATCTGTTTCAAT